TCATTTGATTTCTATAAATTCTTTGGATGTATTTATTAGTTGATAAAAGCAATTTGAAAATGCACTTACCCAGATGGCAACAGCAATGGAACATCACAAGGCTATGGATGTTTGGAGCCTTGTGCTGAAGCATCCAGTCTATGTGCAGAGACACTGACACTTTAAAAAAACAAAAAAGCTAAATGTTAAAAAAAAAAGCCACCACTGCACACCTTATGCCTCCAGGGAGAATTGGTGATACTATGTGGGTCAGCTTTTGTTGTGGTTGTTGTTGACAGTTGCTGTCCATTCAATTCTGACTCATGGCAACCCCACATGTGCAGAGTAGAACTGCTCCTTAGGGTTTTCAAGACAGAGCTTTCAGATGCAGATCGCCAGGCCCATCTTTTGTGGCACTCTGGGTGGATTCAAACCGATAACCTTTTGGCTAGTAGTTGAATGCTTAACTGTCTTTGCCACCCAGGGACCCCTAATGTATAAGAAACAACTGCAAAACCCTGGTGGCTACACAACAATATATGAACAATCTATAGTTCTTCCTATTATATGCCAGCTGCCAGTCAGCAGTGGTGCTGGCTCCTGGCTCAGGTGGATCATGGGTTGGCTCCATGTGCCTTCTCATGCTGGGACCCTGCCTGGAGGAGCACTCCTATCTGGTACGAGCTGTGCTCTCACGGCAGAAGGAAGCAACAAGATGGACAGAAGTTTTAATCGCTCTTGAGGCTGCTCACTGAAAGGTCAGAACTTCAAGTCTACCAAGAGGCACCTTGGAACAAAGGCCTGTGGATCTACTTCCAAAAAGTCAGCCACTGAAAACCTTATGAAGCACAGTTCTACTCTGACACGCATGGGGTTGCTGTGAGTCAGAATTGATTTGATGGCAACTGTTTTTTTGTTTATTCATTTCTTTGTTTTTATATGGCAGAGTGACATCCGCTACTGTTCCATTGGCCAAGAAAGTCACATGGCCAAGCACATGCTCAGTGGAGTAGGGAAGGGTCTTTTGCCTACTGGAGCACATGGCAAGGGTGGGAAGGGACCAATTCATGGGCAACCTGTAATAAAAGCTTCCACAGCTACTAAGGGAAAATTCTTTAGAATCACAGAATCTTCTGGTTGGAAGGAGCTTCAGACTTGAATCCTCTCCACCCCGTAACCCAGTCAGGGGCTCCTGTACTTCACCCCAGAAACAACTCTTCCCACCCTGCCTTGAACTCTGCCAATGCTAGACAGTCACTACGTCCCAGGGAAGCTCCATTGGAAAGACCATCCCTCGTGATAAGCCCAAGTCTGCCTCTCTTCCACTCACCCCCATTACTTCTGCATCTGCCCTCAGCACACCCCTCACCTCCCTTACAACAGCCTGCGACAGACATTGCTGGTGTCTAACTTTCTCCTTGTTACCAGAAGGCTTCCTTTAGGTGGCATTTGCCCAGCCCCAAGGGAAGAATCAGGGTTGGTCTAAGCCAGTCGTGGTGATCCTCTTTGCCAACAATTGTTCTAAGGATGTACTGTGACCCCCATCTGGTCAACAAGATAGAAGGGGAATCTGCCCAGGCCTCTTGGGGACACTTTCCTCCCTGAAAAGAGAGACATGTGAGGAGAAGCACGTTTATCTTCTCCCTCCCTTTGTTTTGGCTCAGCTCACTGTTGTTAGGTGCCGTCAAGTTGATTCCAACTCATACCGACACTGTATGAAAGAGTAGAATTGCCCTATAGGGTTTCCTAGGCTGTAATCTTTATGGAAGCAGATTGACAGGTCTTTCTCCTGTGGAGCCGCTGGGGGGTGGGGAGGGTTTAAACCTCCAACCTTTCAGTTAGTACCTGAGCACTTAACCTAGGGCTCCTTATAAAGGTTTTTTATGACCCTTTATTTTTAATAATTTGCCTAAAAGTTCTTTTGAGTTCTGTAGTCATTCCAGTCATTCTACAATTAACAACAGTTGTTTACCTCACCTTTCCAAACTTGCTCTGGAGGAAGCCAGCCACTATGTCGTGAGGACACTTGAGTGGCCAGAAACTGAGGCCTCCTGACCACAGCCAGCATCACTTTGTCAGCCATGTGAGGGTGCCATCTTGGACATGTGTCCTTCAGCCCATTAGCTTTCACATTGGTGCAGCTGAGGGGAAAAATGGTCTCCAGGCATGCCCTTTGGAAGACCCTGCACCAGAAGCAGGCAGACACAGGCTGGGCAGCATCGGCCAGCCCCTCCCATCTGGACTGGGGCCCAAGGCTGGTCCAGCCTGCGCTTGTGGGGCTCCCAGCACACCCTATGATAAGAGCATGGATGGGGTTGTGGTTTGTCCACCCCTGAAGCCCCAGGCCTGTCACAGGGACTCCCTCTGTACGAAGTGGAAAGCTGTGCCAGGTCCTCGGGGGTGCGGAGCCTGCAGAAACCTGCCATAGCCGTCAGGGCCCTGGAGGTGCCATGGAGAGGAACTGAGGCACTTCTGGGAAGGAAGAGGCCTTAGCCTAGGGGTTGGCAAACCTTTTTTGTAACAAAACTTTCTGCAAAGGCAATCTTAAGTAGAGTTTACTATGTAAATATAAGCAGGAAATGAGTGTTCTGGTGAGGATTGGGTAACTTCCCAACACAAGTCCAGGGAACTTAGGACCCTCTAGTGAGACCATGCGCCCCCTGGTCAGCACCCAGCACAGGTGCGGAGCCAGCTCGGGGGCTCGGGATTTAGAAAGGTGTTTGTGGGGGACCGGAACGTGCGTTCTCCGTCTAACTCTGACTCGTCTGGAGCTCCTGCCTTGGGGACGCATGACACCACGTGGGGATGTGTCTAGGCCACCGCACGTGCCCCAGCCCTGCAGGTGCGGCCTCACCCTCCGCAAGGCCAGGCCGTGGGCGGATGGTGCCCCGGGCCGGGTGGCCGTCCCTGCATACCGCGCCAGCACTGGAACCCCAGGGCGCCGGCCCCTGCTGGGTGTCCCAGCGTGCGTGTGCCCCGGGGCCTGCCAGCTCCAAGTCCTCCCGCGGCGCTACGACCAGGCCAGCCGGCGCCAGACCCCTCACCGGGCCCTGATGGCCGCCGGGCATGAAGTCGGCCCAGCGAGGCGGGGTGGGCCTAGGGTGCCGGGAAGGAGAGCGTTGCCTGGCCTGATGCCCTCTCCTTACAGGTGGGGACCAAGGCCTGCAGAGGGGAGGGGGTACCCAGGGACCTGCGACTCCGTCTCTGCCTACGGTTCCCGGACCTCACTGGAGGGGGCGCCGAGGTATGACAGGTAGGGGTATTTGAGACCGGAGCAGGGGTCCCAGGCGCAGGCAGATGGGGGGGGGGACGTGGGAGGCGGGCACAGCCCCGAGCCATCCCCAGCCTCGAACCCTGGGGTCGGTGAACAGCGTCCTTAGGGGGTGGGGTAACACGGTGGGAAGGAGGAAAGGGTGGGAGAAGATGCTCCAAGGCGGACAGAATGACAGAAGGCAAGGAGGCTTCTAGAAGAAACGCTCCTGGCACTGCTAGTATATTTAAGAACTTGGCATCTTACAGGGCGAGGCTGTTATTTTTAGGATTGATTTAATTTTTAAGAGCAACAAGCAAGTGCATACCTGAAAGCCTATTCGAAATGTGTGCTGTGGGGTTGATTCCGACTCATAAGGTTTCCTAGGCAGTAATCTTTGCGGGAGCAAAGCAGATCGCTGGGTCTCCCCGCCCCTCCTCGGCAGAGCAGCTGGGTGGGTTCCAACCGATGAGCTTTTGGCTAGTAGGTTAGTAGGCAATAGCTTAACCATTACGTCACCAGAGCTCCTCTATTTAAAAAATAAAAAATAAATTTGCCGTCGAGTCGATTCTAACTCATAGAGACCCTCCAGGACAGAGTAGAACTGCGCTGTAGGGTTTCCAAGGAGCAGCTAGTGGATTTGAACTGCCTACCTTTTGATTAGCAGCCAAAGCGCTTAATCACTGCACCACCAGGTTTCCCTGTGCAAAACACCACACTTTAAAGAACTCTCTTGGTGAGTATTACCTTTTTTTTTTTTCTTGGGCAAACCCTGAAAGAGCCAACAGCAGATGTAATTTATAGCTTATGCTGCACTTTTCTGAAGTTCTTTTCTGTTGAAAGTGTGCTCCTTCACTCTCTAGAGCACACACACTAGCCTTCTCGCTCTCTCCCCCTTCCCTCTCCCATGTACACCCACACACACCATCCCCCATGTACACAACACACTCTCCCCCATGTACACATACTCTTCCCCATGTACACACACACACACTCTCCCCCAGATACACACACTCCTCCATGTGGTACACAACGCACTCCCCCATGTACACACACACACACACGCTCCCCATGTATAGACACTCCCCCATGTACAATAGCCCACATTCACACACACACTCCCCCATGTACACCCACATAACTCACCAATGTGCACACTACCCCATGTACACACATACACTCCATGTACACACATGCACTCCATGTACACATACACACTCCCTCATTACACACACCTCTCCCCATGTACACACACTCCCCAATGTACACTCTCTCCCACGTACACACTCTACCACGTACACACACACATATGTATGTACATATGCACTCTCCACCATGTACACACACATTCTCTCATGTACACACACCTCTCTCCCATGTACACACACTTTCACCCCCATGTACACACATACATACTCTCCCATGTACACACTCTCCAATGTATACACACACACACACACACACAACTTTTCTATGTATATATACACACAGATACAATGAAAAAGTTCTATTCAGTAAGATAAAAATTTTAAAGTTGTTTTTGCTGTTGAAACTGTAATACTTTAAATTTTAACTTAATATATATTTGTGTAAAGGAAATAAAAAGTACAATAAAATCTCAAAATGGAAACAATTACAAAATCATTATCCAAGCTGATGTAACGGTAACAAAACCATTACTACAAATCAGCCCAGAAAATGCTACATTTTTACTTATTAAAAAAAAAAACAAAGACTTGTTGGCTAGTTGAAGATACCCTCTTTCCAAGGGTAGAAAAACACATGAAGAGACTATGAAGTATAATCCTCAACGGTGCAAATTTAGAGAACTTATAGATGATTTTTAATTTATTCCAGAGGATAAAATTGGTCAATAATTTTCTCTAATTATACTTAGCTTAAAACCTTTTAGCTTCTAAATTCTCATGGAATCCAGACTTTCTGAAGCCATGGAGGCTGAATGAACCTCTGAAACTACTGCACTGAGATAATCCTTTAAAACTTAAACCAAAATTATCCCCTGAAGTCTTCTTAAAACGAAATAATAGTTCAGCTTAACTAGTAAAGAATGTCTGCCTTGAGCAGTGTGCTCTTTTAAGATCTATCTGTATGGGATCAAACTGACAACAGCAACTCAAAAGATTAGATAGGAAACTTACGGGGCAGTGAGTTTATGTTAATAAGGAAGGAACAACTTGGAAAACCAGGGTGAGAATAGGTGCACAACTCAAAGAATGGAATATCACTAAATTGTACATGCAGAAACTGTTGAATTGGTGTATGTTCTGCTGTGTATATTACCAACAACAAAAATCAAATAAAATATAAAGAAGAGAGGAAATAATACATATAAAAAGAACTGACAGAATTGTCAGAAGTCATTTCATTTTAAATGGTTGTTATCTAGACATGCAGTGCTACTGACAGAATCAGTAATATGTCTGGAAAAAAGGAATGAAGAGACAATACTTTTCTTCTCATTTCAGTATATGCCACGGTATATTCAGACAAGTATAACCGTAACTGGTAACCATGAAATAAACTGTTATAAACATTATAAAAAAATAAAAAAAACAAACCTTTTAGCTTCTTTAACAGTAAGCCCATTCTGACGAATAACCTATTTTAGGAACCAAACTCTCTCATGACAACTTAATATTGACTGCCTCTTTTCTCAGCAATTTCAATTTACTCTCTGAGGTTTCAGGGCTGACCTACAGTTGCATGTTTACTAAAGGAAATGTAATTACGATTCTGAAATAAAAATGACAAAACATTTAGTGGTTGTTTTATTACATTAATATATTCAGCGTGAATTAACCCCAAAACCCTAAAACAACAACAAAAATAAATTACTTAGATATTTTATCATTCTGGTACCTGAAATAAAGACAAATAGAAAACCATGTTAAAACATTAAAAAGTTGAAAATTTTCATTAAAATTATTTACATTTGTATTCTAATGCCCAATTTACAGATACAGTTCTTTTAAATTATTAATAGAATATTTTGAAATACGAAAATAATTGAAATAAATATTATTAAATATCCACAACATATGAATGAATTCAAATTCAGTTCTTAATGTTCTAAATGTAGATATTTATTTATGAATGGCCAAGGGATCTTACAGGTTGTTTTTTAATTTTTTACCCTTTATTCTTGGTCCCTTAATAGTAACTCTGTAAGGCTTTTGATAGCCACTAATCACTGCCAGTCATCATCTCGACATAAATAAACGATTCTTCTGTGACCACCAAAAGACTAACCTGTTTTAAATACACCCAACTTTGCTTTTCAATCATTAAAAATTAAACATCTTTACAAATATCTTTCTTAAGTTACAATATATAGAAAACATTATACATGTATATCTTTTAAACGTTTTGATTGGGGAGGAAAGAATAATTCCTTGGATAACTTTTCTCATATTGGTCTGTTTAAAGAAGCATTTTATTTATACTTTAAAACGGGTTAGAAAATAATGGTGAATATCTCTTTGAAACCAGAAAAGATCATTTTATAAATATCTTGGCATCTGTACTTTGCTTTATAAAGTGTTACATTATTTCTCCCTCCCTCATTTTTAATGTAGTATTTTTTAAAGTTAAGTATTTTGGTAGGTCTTATTCTTGCTCAGTATTCTGAGTCAACCACATTTTAGTTAGCTAAAACTGGAGATTAGTTAATGCAAACTCATGGTTACTAACATATCCAGGGAGCACACTGCTCAACTAGCTATGAGTTTTGATACTCTGTTGTTGCACAAGGTTGGGAATTAAACAATATTTATACACTAATTGTACTGTACAAATTTCATCAATCTCAAGCATTTCTCACTGTCATTTTGAAAGCCTGCCCATATGACATTCAGGAAGAAGCAAAAATCCTCATCACTGGAAGGGGTGGGGGACAAATATTTTGGTGCTGAAAGGACAGCTAATTTTCTGTCTCTAGTAGACTAAGCACAGTCACAGCTGCATTAGTGTTGACCTTACTCCATCTGGGGGTGCTCGGCTGGGACAGGCTAGGGGCTCTGCAGGGAAGTGAAGACTACGCAGACAGCACAACTCAACAGTCGGCCACCAAGGGGAGTGCCCAGGAGGGCCGACCCTCAGTAACTTTTGTTCTTTTTAGACTTCCTTTTCACCTTTATTTCTGTGGGAGTGGCAAACACGTGCTCTGGAGGTACTGAACCCTCTTCTACCCCGTGGCTAAGTGCCCTGGGCAGCAGACCTAGCAGACAGTTAGATGCTCCTGAAGCCCTGGCTCTCCTCTGACTGCATCTGTTACCACTGCCCAGTGGGGCCACAGCCCTGGGGACACTCTACCCCACGTGGAGAGGCTACGATGCAAATGGTCAGAGAATGTCTTACGATGGTCACTCCTACGAGCTAAGAAGGGCGGCTGCTCTGCCTGTGCCGTTTCCTGACATGCTGCTCCTGCCTGTCAGCTGCCACGCTGAGCTTCCTGTGCAAACAAAACCAGTGCTCTGCTGTGTCACGAAGGCCTGAGAAGCCAGAAACCTGAAAGCCAAGAGATAAGTGAGGTTTGGTGCTCGGGGGTCCAGGCTCTTTGGTCAGTCCCACGCCCGTCATTTAACGGGAGCTGACACTGCTGACAAGCAGAGGACGTGCTCGGCCAAGAGCCGTGTGGTGGCAGCAGCGGGCCCGGGTGCCAGTCCCAAAGGCCGATTTGAGGAGAAATGGTTCAGAATCAGAGAGCCTGCCCCGTCATGCACGGTGACAAGGGAACCAGTACTTGTTGCATCATCGCTTTGTGTATGTCCTGCTGGAGCTTTTACTCAGGCCCCTCTTTGGGGTGGGGATCTTGCTCCCAGCCTTCAATCCCGAGGTGCCCGCTCTAGTCATTGCTGAGCCTTTCCCTGCAGTGAAAACACAGACACACAAAACACAGGCCCCACGTTAGAAGGGAGACTCACAGGATCACAGTGCACAAAGGACAGTGATTAGACACTGGCGGGGGCGGGGGCGGGTGGGTGCAGGGACAGTTCCCATCGCTGTCCACAGGAGTCTGCACGAAGTCGGGTGGTCGGGATCAGCACTGAGGACAGCGGCCCCTCCTGCCTGCCTTCAGGATGAGGGCGTGGCTGTGAGGGGGGCTGCAGGCTGTGGGTGAAGATGCACAGGTGAAGGCAGCAGGAGCTCCAGGAGAAAGCAAGCCTGAGGCAGCTCCCCGCTCAGTCAGTCAGGAAGAAAGGGAACAGCCAGAGGCCTAGACGTGAGCTTACTGTGCAGGCTACCTCTCTGCACCTTTATCTCCTCATTTAGACAGAGAGGTTGTTGTGAGGATTAAATAGCCAAATCCCTGTGCAAAATGCCTCACACAAATACTCAGTCAGTGTTATCATTACCATATGCAGGCGTCACTCCTAAAATAAAGTTGTGTACCCAAAGTCTTCTGGTGAGGAATAACTTTTATTAATAGAGCACAGAAGATATTCTTGTAAGGCCCCCTAAGTCTGACATGAAATAGCTACTTCCACAGTCTAAAGTCAGGTGGTGGCGCATCAATGGTCTACTCTCATTTCACGTTTCTAAATACTTTGGGGTCCTTCATGTGAAAAGACACTGAGAACAAAAGAGTGTGCCCCGGAGGAGTGCCCACCAGGCGTGGCTGTGTCACTGAATGATGCCTCCCGAGAGAGCAGCTGCATCTGGCCACAGGGGAAAGACATGTGGTCACGTGACCGGCCCGCCCCTGAAGGACTCGCAGACATGAGGGAAGAGACCCTGGTGGGCGCTGGCAGTGGCGCGTGGAAGGCCTTACCTGGTGGTGGTGCCTGCACTTTGTGCAGGACATGTGTCTTGCGCAGGTTCATGGTGCAGCCGGCGGGACCCATCAGATGAGCCTTCCACGCCTGCAATGAGAGGAGAGGCCAGAGGCATGTGATCAGGCCACACAGCGGCTTCGGCTGCTTCCACAGCATCAAGGACAACTTACGGCTAAAGCCAAAAATAAGAGGCAGCCACTGGCCACAGCGTGGAAGGATGGCTCTGTGCCCAGTACAGATGCCCCTCAGGTGCACTACACTGGCCCCTGCAGTCTGTGCAGAATGCGCCTCAGAAAACACACCTGAGTCTCAGAGCATGGGCTTAAACAAAAAGTGGTCATAAAGGTCATCAACTGATAAATAATGTGGTATTCCATGTGGAAAGCAGATGAAGAGTGGAATGAACTTGTTGATGGTCTTATAGCATTTAACTGCAGTTCCTTTACTCTTATGCATAATTTGTTACGTATTTGAAATTTTCAAAGAGAGAATGAATAGCAGTTGGATAACTGGATAGAGATAAGTTCGTGGGAGAGCCTATATTCCCTGTGTGATCTGTGAGTTTTCTGTGGTCAAGAGGATGCTGCAGGGACTGCTGGGTTTGAGTCACCTTGCTGGTTGTCCTGCATCCAGGAAGGCTTAGACAAGGAGAGCTGCACAGCCAGAAGCAGTGGGTAGACTGCAGGGGACAGCAGTAAGTAGGTCTGGGAGGCATGGTAGGCAGGACCCACAGGGGCTCAGCACTTGATGCCTGGCACATGGGGGGCACCACCAGCCAGTTGTGTTAGCCAGAGAGCCAGATTATCCGTCTTGAAGTCTCTGACTCCCCTCTCGTCCCTCCCTCTGCCTCTAACAGCATGTGGGGATCGAAGGGTAGGCATAGGAGACAGCGTCCTCTCCTCACCAAGCAACTGAGCCACAGTGTGGCTTGCACTGAGGGAGGCAGGAGAGCTCTGAATTAGATATGAAATAGAATTCACAAACTGGACAGGGTTAAGTTTTATTAATCAAAAGGGACCAGAATGTTCCAGAACTGGCCAAGATGTCATCTAGGGCCTCAATAACTAGGTGAAAACAAAGGCTAGAAACAAAACCATTTCATGCTTGTATCCCAATGAGTTGAGACTCCTCAAATAAACCATTTATTAACATTAAGCTATCGCATTGAATATGTAGGTAAATAGAATGACTGTTGAGAAAGCTCAACTATTTCCTCCAACAACCGTCCTGAGAGAGAGAGAGAGAGAGAGAGAGAGAGGGGTTCAGCAGTACCATCATCATCATCACTGTTATTATCCAATAGTAGTGAGTTAAACACTCAAGTGCCAGTCACCCTCCTGGGTTAGACCACTCACCTCTTCTCCAGGCGAGAAGTTCTCGTGGCACAAAGGACACCTATTTGCCAGCTTCTCTGACTTGGAGGCTGAAATGATTTTAGTAAAACAAAGTCAGTTACTCCTATGACATTGAGGTAGCACTTGGATGAGAAGGAGAACAACAGAGCCTGCCAGGCACTCTGTAACCCCCAGGGCACTCAGAGACCCTGTCAGCAGTAGCACTGTTCACAAGGAGGACCGCCTGCTACACAGAGGGCACTTGGGGATCTTGACAGGGGCCTGCCAGAGGATAGCCACCAAGGAGTACTCACGATTGCAGTCTTTGGTTTTGATGTGTCTGGGCAGCTCCTCCTTCAACACCGCCTCACTGCAGCGGTAGCACTTCCCAAACCCGTCCTTCCTGTCACACTCTGTCAGCAGGTGCTCTGTCAGGCTGGCTATCTCCACCACCTGGGCCAGAACATAGAGCAGAGCAGCTGCTGAAACACTGGCGGGCTTCCTGCCCCACTGGCCGACGGGATGTGTGTGAGGGCCTTCAGGGCTTAAACCAAAAACCAAACCCATTGCTGGCGAGTTGATTCTGACTCATAGCAACCTTACAGGATGGAGCAGAACTGCCCCATATGGTTTCCAAGGAGCAGCTGGTGGATTCGAACTGCTGACCTTTTGGTTAGCCGCCGAGCTCTTAACCACTGTGCCACCAGGACTTCTTCAGGACTTAAGACCTCCAGAAAAGGCTTTGGTGTCATTTACCTGTGGGGTGAGCGAAGCCATCTTTTCTCTCTGGTGCTCACAGCACAGAGCTTGTGGACCCATCCACCACGCTCTGCAAAGACCTCAGGTCCTCCTCTCACGTTACCTGGCAGCATATCAAGGCCATTGCTAAGGGGTGGGGAGGGTGTGCTAAGGTTAATTTGAATGGGATACTTGCATTAGAAGGCAGAATAGCCTGTGGTTAAATGTGTGACCCTGGATTCAAATCCTGGCTCCCACTTACTTCTAAGAACATGCACAGAAACAGAATCACAAAAGAGAGCTAAGAGATCTCTCACCACACTGATGTCTTTGGCTGGAAGGACCTGTGTACACCCTTGAAAGAAATTCCTTGCCCTGGGACTTCTGCACACTGCTGAAGGAAACAATTGGCCTGTTCCCGATCATCTACACTGGGGTTAGAGTCTGCCCTGCCAGGTAGAGGGACAGCTGATCAGGTGAGAGGACCTGCCAGTCAAGCTGCCTCCTTAAGCCTGAACGGGCCCTAAGATAAAAGGAAGAGGCTCTTTCTTCTCCTGATTCGCCTCCGTTATGGAAGGAAGACCTGTTGCATCAGAGAAGAGATTTAAAACCTGGGGCAGGGAAAGATTTCATAAACAGGGCACAAAAACCATTAACCATGAAAACGACTGATAAGGTAGACAACATTAAAATGAAAAACTTCCATTAGTCCACATTAAGACAATGAAAAGGCAAGACAAAGAGTGGCAGAAGATAATTACAATACATATAACTGATCAGTAAAACCAGCTGCCGTGGAGTCTACTCCGACTCGTGGTGACCCCGTTTGTGTTAGAGTAGAACCGTACTCCACAGGGTTTTCAATGGCTGATTCTTCAGAAGTAGACTGTCAGGCTTTTCTTCCGAGGTGCATCTGAGTAGATTCAACCCACCAACCTTTTGGTTAGCAGCCGAGTGTTAACCATTTGGACCACCCAGGAACTCCATATAACTTACAAAGGACTCCTATCCAGATACATAAAGAATTACCACAAATCAGAAAGAAAAAGAATGTCAACCCAATTTTTTTTTTTAAAAAAAAGATAAGAACAGGCACTCCACAAAGTCTAGCCAAATGGCCAATAAATGGACAGGTGCTCGACCTCACAGCTCATCAGGGAAATGCAAATCCGAAGTGCACAAGATACCAAGAAGCATCCACCAGAATGGTACAAATGGAGAAGACTGGCAGTACCAAGTGTTGGTGAGGATGTGGAGCAGCTTCCACATGCTGCTGGGGGGGTGTCAGCTGGGGTCCAACCACTGTGGAACGCAATCTTTCTCTAAAGCTGAACACTCGCACAGCAATTCCACTCTTGGGTACATGCCCCAGAGTGCATTCATGTGTGCTCCAGAAGACACACATGAGAGTGCTTGTAGCAACACTACTCATAGAAGCCCCCCACTGGAAACAACCCGAATTCCATAAACAGGATGGATGTATACATTGTGGTATAGTCAAACTGCGGGAATACTGTGAAGTAAGAAAAGAAACTATAGCATGGGACATGATACAAAATAATTACATATTTATGTCACTGAACTGTGCATGTAGAAATTTTTGAAACGGTGTATCTTTGGCTACGTGTATTTTCACCAGAAAAAAAAAAGGTTGAGAAGATAGAGGGTTAATATGTTGTGGGGTTGTTAACCAATGTCATAAAACAACATGTGTACTACTGTTTCATGAGAAACTATTTGTTCTGTAAGCCTTCACCTGAAGTACAATAAAAAAAAAAAAAAAAATTACATATTGTAGCATTCCATTTACATAAAGCTGAAAAAGCAAGAAACACAAATGTGTGGTGTTAGAAATCAGGACAATGATGACTTTGGGGAGGAGGACTGAGGTGTGGTGGAGGAGTCCCTGGGTGGTGCAAATCCACCCGGAGGGGCCTCAGAAGAAAGGTCTGGCAATGTACTTCTGAAAGGTCACAGCCAGTGAAAACCCTGTGGAGCACAGTTCTACTCTTACATTCGTGGGATTGCCATGAGTAGGAGTCGACTTGATGGCAATTGGTTTGGTTTCCGGTTTGAGTGGTGGTGGTACTCTGTCTTTCTTGACCTGGGTGGCAGTTACACAACTGAGTTTCTTGTGTGATAATTCCTTGAGCTGTAAAGCTTATGATTTGTATACATTCATACTTCAACAGAAAAGTAAAACATCACAACCCAAAGCAGAATGGGGTGATGTGTACTCAGTTACTTTCCCTCTGACAACACTAAAACTAGATGGTTTTGTGCCCAGGGCCTCTCAGGAGTTGCTGGCTCAAGCCCACAAGCTGGGTCCGGTCCGACTGTGTCCAGCGCCTGACCTGCTTGCAGTAGTCACATCTCGTCAGCATCAGACAGTGCTTCCAGTAATGCAGGTCCAGGCCTTCCTCTGTGAAGGACTCATTCCTTTCCCCACAAAAAATACACAGACTGAAACAGAGCAGAAAAGTGAAGAATGAATGCAAAGACCTAGTTCAGTAGGACCCGCTTCGCTCCTACGTTTGCCAGTGTCAGTTGTGTACGCCTTCCTGTCTACTGCGTCTCACCATGGTCTGCCCTCAGGGCGGGGGCTGGGCCGCTAAAGTGCCAAGTGAGAGCCCTCCCCGAGCAGGTGCTTACGATTAGCTTACGATTCCTTCAAATTCTAACTTTGCCATCATAATCAGGCAGACAGGAAATTTAAGTCACAAGAAAAGATAAGATGGAGACATTTCTCATAGGGTCTTTGTCGATGAGTCCTGGCCACTGCTTAGTAAACAGTGTTTTCTGCTACAACATTTTGTACCTGTAACAGCAATTTTGACAAATATGCTGCTAACTCCTATTGGGGTAAAGAGAGGGAAAATCATTTGGACTTACTGAGTGCTAATGCTGATTGGGTTAGAAGGCAATTTTCCTAGCTTTAAAAATTACTGGAAAAGGTCAACTGATTTACATAATCTTAATGAACAAACAAGGAACCCTGGTGGTACAGTGGCTAAGTGCTCGGCTGCTAACCAAAAGGTTGGTGGTTTGATCCCACCAGCTGCTCCACGGGAGAAAGATGTGGCAGTCTGCTTCCGTAAAGATTACAGCCTTGGAAACCCTCTGGGGCAGTTCTACTCTGTCCTACAGGGTTGCTATGAGTCGGAATCGACTCAACGGCAGTGGGTTTAATGAAAGAACTAAGAGAATGTTTATTTTACAGTGTTTTTATGTGGTTAGTGCCTTTATGAATTACATAATAGGCTAAAGACAACATTACTCACTGATCCAAATAATGATTATCTGGAGTTTCTGGAGCATTAGGTGGGTCAGCTTTCCTTCCTTGAGTGTCTGATCAAAAAAAAAAAAGCAGTTTAAATAATTTTTTTGTAGAACTTATTTTCAAATTTTCAGTAACAAGTCTGATTTAAAGTATACTTTAAAAATATCATACAAGTTAATAAGGGTAGTATTTTAACATTCAGTTCTAAAATGCCTGAAATACAGTAGGTGCTGAATGAATAAAAGTAGTTTCTTTGTGGGGCTTCATGACATGCGTTGTACCTACCCTGATTCTTCGGCTTCATGGCATCACTTTCTTTTTCCTAAGACACAAAACGGGCAGGTTAGGGACATGTAGTAAGTGCTTAATAAGATGTGTTGAATAAATGACTAATTTAGGAGTTAAAATGTTCTGCACGCCAAGGTGGGCTCTGGCAATACAGGGGTGACTTGGCCGATGGGCCTTCTGTTGTACTCTTCTCTGCCAGGATCCTTCCCTCTCCTTTTTTCCTTTAGTTTAGGTGTGCTAATGCCTGCTGGTTTGACTGGTCACGGGGCTTAATCTAAAAAAACCAAACCTGCTGCTGTTGAGTGGACTCTGACTCATGGTGACCCCATGTGTCACAGAGTAGGACCGTGCTCCATAAGGTTTTCTTGGCTGTAATCTTAAGCAGACTGCCAGGCTTTTCTCCTGAGGCATTGCTGGGTGGGTACCCGTTTGCACTACCTAGGCACCTGGGGTCTACACTGACTGAGTGGATCTGACAGAAGAGGCTCATTACTGGTTATTGGTCTCACGTGTTGGTTCAGGGGCTATGCTGCTGTGGTGTATGGGGGCAGATGGGGCCCAGCGTTTGTGGGCTGGCCCTGGGTGAGGCTCCCCCTGCTAAAGGTCCTGGGCTGCTCCCCAGCTGTCTTTGCCATCTGCTCTCTGTCCTAAAACCTTGAGAAACCCTTTATCAATTCTCCCTGCTGTCCAGCCTTCTAAACATTACTATAGTCTCTATAATAATGGTCAATTCGATAAAGTCTTAGATTCCTATTCCTAGGGTGACCAACCATCGCTGTTTGCCCAGGACTGAAGGGGTTCTGGGACTTTCAGTTTTAAAGGAGGAAACAGGGAATGAGTTGGTCATGTGACATACAATCATTTAAACGGATGAATTACAAACACAAATACTGTCCTCTATAGGGAATTAAATTTCACCTGATAGTAAGTAACTTTTCTCAGACCCAATCACTGAACATGGAACAAACATACAAGAAGACAATTTTAGAATGGGAAGAGGACTTAGGAGAGTAACTTCGAACTCGCATGATTTATATACTTATAAAGAAAACTAATCTAACGTGATAGGATTCTAGGGATCCAAAAAAAAAAATCCTGCTGATAAGAGATGGGCTTGTATACTTTGCAGGGAGACAATGTAAACAGAATGTAAAACGTATTTTAGTTTTAAATTTTATCTTACCTATATTTTGAACGGAGCCCTGGTGGCGCAGTGGGTAAGTGCTCAGCTGGTGGTTTGAACCCACCAGCCACTCCACAGGAGAAAGATGTTAACAGTCTGCTTCTGTAAAGATTTTACAGCCTTGGAAACCCGATGGGGCAGTTCTACTCTGTCCTATAGGGTTGCTATGAGTTAAATCGACTCGACGGCAGCAAGTTTTTGTTGGGTGGGTAGTCTCTGATATGATTTTAAACAGCAAGTCTTCTCAAGATCTATGGTTTCAGAAGGAGTCCTGGTGGCACAGTGGTTAAGAGCTCAGCTGCTAACCAAAAGGTCGGCAATTCAAATCTACCAGCCACTCCTTGGAAACCCTATGGGGCAGTTCTATTCTATTCTATAGGGTGGCTATACTTAGAACAGCTTAGGAAACTAATTATTAAGTTTTTAAACCATTTTTTTCCCCTACAACTCAGAGCTATCAGGCAATTTAAAAGCATTCTGTAATTCTCAGGTGAGTGTTCACCAATCGCACTGTCTGAAATAGCAGGCCCGGCCCACCCCGCCACCTTGTTGCAGGATGCAGCCTCTTTGTCATGTCCCAGCACCCCCGTGTGCCATACGTCTTTTGCTTTCCTTTCACTGTCTGCCTCCTCCCTGGAGCACCAGCCCCACGAGGGCAGGGACCCATCTCGTGCCCTCTGTACTTCCAGAGCCCAGGCTGTGCCTGGCACGCAGCAGGCCCTCAATAAACATTAACGGCATGCATGGAAGCTGGTGCATGATGGTGTCTAAGGTGCTGTCTAGGGGGATGTAACCCGCCTTAGTGACCCCAACAGTGTCTAAGACCAGACACCACTGAGGGCTCACCACAGCTCCTCTGGGCCATGAGGGGAGAAAGCAGGGATTGAGCATCAGATTTGAGGCTAAGACTTGGCTTAGCCACTAATGACCTTTGTGACCGTGACTAAGTCACCGAGGTTCCCTTAATTTGCCTCCTTATTTGTATAATATTAGGGATAATAGCTAATGCATGCCCAGCCTGCTTCAGAAGAGTTGCGGGGAGAATATGAATGTATGTGAACGCTCTCAGTGAACCACAATCTACTACATAGGGGATTATTCCCCACCGTGGTCCCATCCATCTCCTTTCTGCCTCTTTTCCCACCCCCCATCAGCCTCTTTTTCCTTTCATTATTGCTATTCTGAGGTTCCAGCATTTAGGTGAAAAGTTACTGTGACTTTTTGTCATAGGAATTTTATCATATATTCTGTCATATTTTCTTTATTTTCAAAAGAAACCTTCTTTCAACTTAAGGACCTTAATCACAAAATTAGTGTTATGAAATTAATTTAAATTACAGAAGCCGGGCAGTTTAGAAGGACAGCGTTTATATTCAACCAAACTGTATCTGCTCACACTACGTCTGATATCTCCTACAGGCTTAAGAGTACGGGTCTCCTGGAGTAGAATATTTACCTGAAATCTTCCTATTTCAGCGCACCGAACTCAGGCCTTCATATTCAAATTTATTTTTCTCCTTTGCCTCTGTAGGAGGCTATGGAGCTAAAGAGGAGATAAGACACTTTTCCTTTATTCCTTTCTTTTATCCACTTTATAAGTCTTCAAAAGTTTTCTCTCTAAACACATACAGCAACTCAATCCAGTCCCTACAGATGAAGAATGTGGCTGACAGATGATTCAAACCATCTAATGGAGCATTTCTTTTTTTTTATAAATTTATCCCAAACCTAATTTGAAAAATGATAAAAAATAAAGACACCAATCTGTATAATCTCACAGATAAACTGTGCTACTACACAATGAAATAACTGGTCATGTGATGTCAACCTAAAGCACATGGATAACAGATGTGTTAACCTCTCCAACCTGGACTTCCACCTGGATTTCTTTGAGTGCCGCCAACTGTCCTTGTAAAACTTTAATTTCTTCTTTCTTTTGCCTTTCCACTTCTTCTGTGGCTGCCTTTTTCTGTGCCTGTTAAGAAAATTATCTTTCCATTAGAGTAGCTTTTTAGGGTAGTCTTAGAAATTGGGAGACAAATTATAACATGTAAATTAGGTTTCTTATACTTTTATAAGATTCATTAAGACTAATGACATGACCAGGGTTAAAGTAAATTCTCCAGATTCATTAAAAAAATGTTTATTGACAGATAAAAATGGCAATGTCCTCATGGTTATCCTTATTCCAGTTTACAGATGGGGAAATGGAGGGTCTCACAGGCAAAAAGGGACAGGCCCTGGCTGTAGCTCCTTGAAATAGTGATGTACAAAATACCTTTTAAAATAATTAGATTATAATTTCATGGAAGTTAACTTACCCTAATTTCAGCTTCTGTAGGTTTGCCATCTATTTTAGCAAATCCCTCAAAAATTGTTTTGTAGAGAATGTTTTTGCGCGTGTTGTTGTCATCTGGAGGAAGGTACTCTAGAATAAAAGCCCGGTGCTGTTTATACATGTCCAAAATAATTCTAACCGCTGTTTCTCGTACCTCATATACTCTATGCGCCAGGGCACTCACTGAAAACTAAAAATAAAGCCAGGAGGGTTTCCCGTTGTTATTGATTCTTGAAATAATGAAGCTTATTTTTTCCAGCATAAAAGGACTATATGTACATTATGAAAATTGAAAAAAATAAGACACACAGAACTCCATACATTAATATAAACATAACTTTTTCCACAGTTTATCTTACATTAGAAAAAATAATAAACCTGCTGCCATCGAGTTGATTCCAACTCATAGTTCAAATCATGACGTCAATACAACTTGTGTTTTGCTTTTTTCCACATAATGTTTTAACAAGTATTTTTAGGTTATATCCTTTCCATAAACGTCATATTAGATATTATGAAATATTTCAAACATTCAGAAGTATAAATATAATAAACTCCCATGTACCCAGCATCTAGATTTCACCAGTGTTAAATTTTGATGTGTTTGTCTCAGGTCTTTTTATTTCTAGGAAATCAAACATTATAATTACAGTGCAAGCCCCCTGTGTGTGTCTCCCCACCTGCTGTCCTCTTCTCTTCCTTGGAGATGGCACTCTACTGAGGCTGGGAAGCATGCTTCCCACCCATATTTTCTGATGAGTTACAAAGACTGACCTATCCATAAGTGTACATATGTACGGGTGCAGATGCACGTATCATTATTTTGTTTTAAAATTGCAAATAGTACACTGTGCTTGTCATTTTGAACCTTTCTTTTTTTCTACACAACACTATGTTTTCAAGAGCTATGCACATTCATCCATACTGGTCTATTTTATTCATTTTAACTACTCTGTGGTATTCCAGCCCATAAACACATCATAACACATTGATCCGAGCTGAGGCTGATGTGAACAAGCTAGGTGAATCCGACATCTCCATGACGGTGCTTGGGCATCGTGGCCTCCGGGCCTGGCCTTCTCACATCCAGCAACCTCATCCTGCCTCAGCCACACACTCAGGTTTCACCCAGTTCCTGTCATTTCCAACCACAGCACACCTCTATAAGGACTAACTTTAAGGGTCCTACTCTTTATCACCACCTATCTTTCCAGTTCACTTTTTCTTGTACTACTCCCCCCTCCCCTGACAATTCTTTAACCCATGGGACCTTCCATCCACTCCCACTACCCACACCATATTTCCCCATCAATCATTCCCCCCTCAAGTCTTTGCCTACCTCCGTGTCCAGGCAGATTGTGTGGTCCATGCTTACAGTCGTTCCTGGCATTCATGTACACCCTCAGAATCCCAGGCCCTTTCTCCTTCCTTTGTACTCCCCAGGCAAAGCTGAATGACTGGAGCCCTACCAGTCATGTGACTGGTTTCACTTTAGATTTGCAGCCACACCATCCGGGGGTTCTCAGCACTGCACAGCAACCTGACCTGCAACACTTCCCTGGGTAGTCCACTCCCCCAGACTTCAGATGGCCATTGCATATGTGCTTCTCTCCTCTCACCACCCCTTCTCAGCTTCAAGCTGACTTCCTCCTTAAGAAGATGACTGTCCCTACTCCACTCTGGGGCCAATCTTTCTCCAGCCTACTTGAGACTTGCCCTTGCAGTCACCACCCCCCGCCCCAAGCCTGCTTTTATCAGCTTCTCCCTCTGGATCATTCCCATCAGCATAGAGATAGACCAAAACTTGATTATGTGTTCAACAAGCCCGTTTCCTTCCTTCCTTGGTGCACAGCTATACTGTACTTCCCAGTGCCCCGAAGTTAGTTGGCTGAGCCACTCCCACCTACAATCCTCTAGTCACTTTCCTTTATTCAGTGACCTTGGAGGTCATGGGTGAAAGCTGGTGGCATCATACAGGAAAGAAACTGGGTCCCTGGATGACTGTGTGGAGCAGAGCACCCCCTATCCTTGTAAACTGCACTGGACCATGACAAGAACGAGCTCTCAATTTCTACGTGTGAAGCCACTGAAGCTTTAGAGTTTGTTAGTGTGGCATGGCCTAGCTTATTGTACCGAATGCTTAAACTAGAATCTTGAAGTAGGGTGCTACACAACAAGAATTTAAATATGTCAGCAGGCTTAGTGGTTATGTGGTGAGGAGCAAGGTAACGGAACTTGGAGGCAGGAAAGATGGTAACCCATGCTATATAGGAGCAGAACAGTTGATACAACTGTTGCCTACTATAACTTTGAAGGCAGATCATGGGCCTGCTGAGCTGGTAGCACTAGGAGAAATGGATGGAAATAATCAGGGTGTTTGTGTGTTTTAGCTACAATTGGCTGACTCTGGAAAGTTTTACAAAAGAAATAAATGAGCTCAGTAAAGAATTGGCAGTTTGCAATTAGTAATAAGAAGACTTTCTCTGAGAGAGATGGCAAGTACTGGCAGGGTTGAGCACAGGAGTAAGTGATCTAACTTGCGTTTAAAGGAGCGCTCTGACTGCTGCATTGAGAACAGACCATAGTGGGCAAGGTGAGCAATCTTGGGTGGTAGCAGTGGGGTGGTAAGAATGGTCAGATTCTGGATGTACTTTAAAGGAAAGCCCATAGCACTTGCTGATGAAGATTTGAGACAAAGAGAGAAATCAAAAATGATTACAAGGTTTGTGGGCTGAACAAATGAAAGAATGGAGCTGCCATTAACCAAAATGGGGGAAGGTTGGAAGGCTGGAAGGGACAGTCGGGTGGATTTGGACATGCTAAGTTTGGGTCTTACTAACATCCACGTGGAGAGGTTGAACAGGCAACTGGTTATGAGTCAGAAGTTCAGGGGAGTGGTCCAGGCTGGAAATATATGTGTGAGAGTCTTGAATAAACAGGTGGTGTGCAACTGGATGAGATCACTGAGGCAATATGTGTACATAGAAAAGAGAAGAATAGGGCCTGGGCCCTTCAAATTTTAAAGTCAGAAAGACAAAGAAGAATCACATGAAGCTGAGTGCTGAGAATACCAGGAGCCTGTGGAGTTTGGGAAGCCAGGTGGTGAGAGTATTTCAGAAAGGGTTATTTATTTCAAAGTTTTCTGCTTACTAAAACAGGTCTAAATCACACCTCTACTAATAAAACTGATGAATAAGAATGCACCTTATATGACTCTGACCTTCCTGATCATTAAGTTTCATTATGTCAGGTCCAAATCCAGGTCTGTGTGAGTCTATGGATATGTGGAATCGATAAAGACGAGAGACGGCACTTGAATCCCACACAACTGCTTCCCTTTCTCCATGTGACAGAGATGGATACAGACTCGATACGTGAGTGGGCCAGGAACACAGCACTGTGATAGCCTTCATCTACTGGGCTGGCCAAGATGCTGGCTAAACACTCAGAATGGTACTTTCAACATGTCTGAAATCAGGAAGTAGTGGATTTTTGACTGGCAGAAAATTTCTCTCCTATAACTTGCAGATTGAGAATACTGAATATACCATGGACTGCCAAAAGAACAAACAGGTCTGTCTTGGAAGAAGTACAACCAGAATGCTCCTTAGAAGCAAGGATGGCGAGACTATATCTTACATACTTTGGACATGTCGTCAGGAGGGATCAGTCCCTGGAGAAGGACATCATGCTTGGTAAAGTACAGGGT